TTACATGTCCCCTAATATTTATTTATTTCAAATGGCAGGCGTTTTGACAGCTATCATTAGCCCTTTAGTTGACTTCGGGCTTCACAGAGGGAAGGTTCATCAAAGTAGCAGAAAGTCGAGGAAGGCGAGCAGAAGAGCGATTCACAGATGTAAAAGAGACAAAGGTAGACACAAAGGCAAAGAAAAAGGTAAGATGAGTACTGTGAAAGTGGTCGAATATGCCATACAGTGGGGCCATAGTATGTTGAAGTCAGAGGTCAACTGCCGGTTAATAGACTTTTTGCCGTATGAGTATACGTTGCCCAGGGTGCACCACGTGGAGGTAATTCTATCGCACACCCCTTTTATTGCGTAATTGATTTGGCTCTTGGAAGAGGGCATCAGAGCAGCAGCACTAAAGCAGTACAAAAAGGGTAAATTAAGAGGAAGGCATGCGCTTGCTTCTATTATTACTTTGTACTTCGCACCGCGTTGAAGGCCAAAAGATTTAAGGCATAATCTAAACCTGTGTAAAATTCATCTTTCAGAATAATGTTCTACGCTCTGAGGACAGATTCCACCCTCTTTCCTTTCCCGTTTCATAATTTTAGAGAAAATTGTGGAAAATTTATGGAAAATCTTCTAACAAATGCTTATTTATCCCGCAGTCATTCATTATTAATGAAGAGGAGCTGAGCCGATAAAAGAAGTGAGTTTTCAAGGTTCCAAAGGAAGCTGGAGATGAGTCTGCACAGTCGATCCCACCAATCACAGTTTTCTTCATTTACCAACTTTCGCCTTCACTCACACTTTGGCTTATTCTTAGGCACTAATATCGTTTTTCTGATAATTTCTTTAATGTGTTAAAAAATCGAGCTTTTACAAGCATTAATTCCACGGAAAATTAAGTTAATGAAACATGCCCTGCGCCAATCAATTTAAAAAAATACATAATTAACTCAAACACTTGCCACAAGAAAAAGTTCTAGCAAAGCGTCAACTCAAGTGTAAATTATTTATTTATATTGAGGCAATTGGAGCAAAAGCTCTCCTAATGGATTGTTGATGTAAAAAATAACTTTTATTTGCCTGAAGTATGAGTGACCGCAGCTTATAAGGTCCAATGTAAAATGAAAATAACACTGTCTATACTAATATCTGTTCAAACTGCACAAACAGGAAGTTGGCAGTATCGCCACCTAAATGCTGTATTGGTGAAAACTAGGGCGGAGGCATAAATCTTGCTGGTAGAGAGCAGAAAAATTGATCCAGTGAGGTTTGTAGCGGGTTGCTACCTTAGTAAAGCCTGACTGACTCAGAAATCTCTACCCTAAGTAAAGCCTGACTGACTTAGAAATCTCTATGGCAGATTCTCCTGACTCAGAAATCTCTTTGGCAGATTCTCCTACATCTAGACCGACTCAGAAATCTCCATGGCAGATTCTCAAACATCTAGCTAAACTCCCGAACAGCTAAGCTATAGCTCAGCTATAAAGAAAACAGACGTGTAGCACGGAGCGCGTTTATATCTATGGCAGATTCTCCAACATCTAGCTAAACTCCCAGAACCACCTAAGCTATGGCCCAGCTATAAAGGAAACAAACGTGTAGCACGAAGCACGTTTATTCAGCTCGTATATTGTGGATAAAGTGTACACGCAGGGAGCTACTCATGATCAGGATGGGGGATTAGGTTAAACAGAGGTTGATGATTGGTCACTGTTTGTACGGTCGCTGCACACAGAGTTGTATGACCACACCTCCCAATCCTTACGTGGAGACATGCGATGACGCATAAAGCGATTAAGTGTCCCACAGGTTGAAAGGCTTGAAGCACAGTGTTACATCATAGAGGAAAACGTTGAGATTAATTAAGTGCATGGAATTGTTCATGCACTTAGTGCTCGAAATAAGTAACAATCGACAAGAAAATTGTGTGTGAACTAAAATCACGAGAGCGAATAAAGACAATTCACAGACAAGCTGACCCTACAAGACCTTTTGTTAAAAAATACTTTAGTTAGATTACCTAAACACATACAGATCTGCCAATTTACTAAAAAACAATTCGCTGATTTAGGTGTTATCAATGTAACTAGTTTTGACCTATTTGAAATCGTTTTTTGTCAAAGAATGAAAATTATTATTTCAAATTGCAGGCTTTATGATATCTTTCTTTAACCCCTTAGTTGACTTCGGCTTTCATAAACCGGGGGGGGGGGTAGCATATATAGCAGTTAATTGATAGTTAGTTGTCTTTTGGCTTCCCAGTATCTCGGGGTTTCCGTTGTTGCCTTTATGGCTGGACACCGAAACAGGCGGGTCTTCTACATTTCCTTCAGTAGGTTACATAGGGGGCATGTTGAGTGAATGTATACTCCTAATCTGTGAAGGTGCTATGCCAGGCAATCGTGTCCGGTGCGTAGTCTAGACTCAGCAACGGCTTCTATTCTTGGCCAGTCAACTATGTCGGAGAGTGCCACTGTCCACTGTTTCTCCTTTGTTCGAACTTTAAGTTCGTTGCACCTTGAGGTCTTGAATTCTCTCCTGATTAAGGCCTTCATTGTGTGGAAAAACATCTGCTGGTCTATGCCTTGCAAAATTGTTGTCCCCTTCTTACCAAGTGCGTCAGCAATCTCATTGCCTTTAATGTCACAGTGACAAGGAATCCATTGTAGGACCACTGTTTTGTCTTCCTCTCTCAGCAGCTCATAGAGTGACTTACATTCGTATATCTCAGCTGTTTTGGAGGGCTGTGTTTCCAATTAAGTTTATTGCTGACTGTGAGTCTGAAAGGATTTCTGTTTTGGCGAATTTCGTATCAAGGCAACATAATTGGCTTAGTGCTATCTTAATGGCCATCTATTTCTCCTTCGAAAGCGGATCTATTGTGTTCCGCTGTCCAAAGCGGATCTATTGTGTTCCGCTGCTGCGTAGAAAGAGAAGAGTTTGTAGTAAACACCTGCACCAACGTTTGCATGGTTTTCTATATATGACCCATCAGTGAAGACTTGAAGTCATTGATCTGCAGGATAGTTGACATTGATTGTCTCAAGGGCCAGTGAGCGCTTTTGTTCTGGAGGGGTGTTTGCTATCCCGAAGTGGTCAAGCAGTTGCGTGCAACACACTACATCAGTGTCTGCTAATAGGTTCATGGGTAGAGAAAGGCTTTTTGGTTTATCATCGATTTGTAACGCTTTCTTCACTTTTTGGTTTGTCATCGATTTGTAATTCTTTCTTCAGTTCTATACTTAGTATTAGACCAGATTGACTCATGGGTGCTGAAGAACTTATCCATGGGAATGTACAGTCTAGCTTGCGTTTTCAGATGTCTTGGTCTATTCTCATAGGTGCTGGAAGAACTTATCCATGGGAATGCGCAGTAGATTCTCATACATTGTCCAATGAGTGCGCAGTAGTTTCTCATACAGGATCAAGGCCTTTTCTTTTGGAGCCTATTGTGGTGTTTCCTGTAACTTGGAGCATTGCACAACATATTGTGGTGCTTCCTGTAACTAGGAGCATTACATCGGCCTATTGTGGTGTTTCCTGTATCTTTTCTTTGATAAGGGAACATATTGTAGTGCTTCCTGTAACTAGGAGCATGGCAACAACATATTGTGGTGCTTCCTGTAACTAGGAGCATTACATCGGGGTGTTGATTTTACCCCTCCAGTAATTAGTCGTAATTCTTGGTAGTGTGCCTTCTCGAGGGGTTTGAGAGTCACCTCTTGGTTTTGGCCGTCTATTCCTCTAGTAATTAGTCGTAATGCTTGGTTGTGTGCCTTCTCGAGGGGTTTGAGAGTCACCTCTGGCTTGATTGTGTGCCTTCTCGAGGGGTTTGAGAGTCACCTCTGTGGCTTTCTGTGCCTTCTCGAGGGGTTTGGGAGTCACCTCTGTGGCTGTGTGCCTTCTCGAGGGGTTTGAGAGCACCTCTGTGGCTGTAATGAGTGGCTCACAACAATAAAACATTTTTGGCTGAATAAACATCTTGTAAGTGGTGTTGAATTGGCTGAATATTTCACAGCAATACAACATTATTGGCTAAATAAACATCTTGTTAAGTGGTCCTAGAGTTGAGCGTGCTACAGGCCCCATCCGCTACCAGCAAGACGCTTCAGGACATTCAGTGTATTGGAGACAGCCGTTAGCTTTGTGTCAAAAGTCATTCTGAGATATGTGAATAGTGGAGACTCGTTCTGCTATTTTAGCAATGTGACTTTTCCATGTTAGCTTCTTTCTGCTATTTTAGCAATGTGACTTTTAGCCGTTAGCTTTGTGTCAAAAGTCATTCTGAGATATGTGAATATGGGAGACGCGTTCTGCTATTTTAGCAATGTGACTTTTCCACTCTTTCTGCTATTTTAGCAATGTGACTTTTAGCCGTTAGCTTTGTGTCAAAAGTCATTCTGAGATATGTGAATAGTGGAGACTCGTTCTGCTATTTTAGCAATGTGACTTTTCCAGTCTCGTTCTGCTATTTTAGCAATGTGACTTTTCCACGTTAGCGTTCTGCTATTTTAGCAATGTGACTTTTCCATGTTAGCTTCTTTCTGCTATTTTAGCAATGTGACTTTTAGCCGTTAGCTTTGTGTCAAAAGTCATTCTGAGATATGTGAATATTAGATCTCACGTCAAACGTCATTCCGAGATAAGTGAACTCGTTGGTTTTTTCTAGAGAATTATCCTTGAGCCTTAAAACGGGTTTATGCTGTGACGGGCCAAAAAAATGTTTGGAATGTAGCTTTCGTGGTGTTGATTACCATTCCATTTTTGTCACTTCAGTTTTCTTATAGTTCAAGTGCATAATTTAGGGCATTTCTGTCCTCTCCTGAGCGTTTTTATAGGGGCGGAATACTATAGAACAAGATTAGCTGCCTGTTATTGTCTGTACCAGTTCGGATATGTCATTGATAAAGACATTGAAAAGGATGCAGCTTGTGACAGCTCCCTGTGGAAGGCCTGTTTCTACATCTGACTTTACTTGATCTTCGTCCAATTAATGCTTTATACCAATCTCCACCAATTTTAGATTTAGATTCTCTTTCCAAACTAAGTCATATGCTGATTTAAATCGACGAATACAGCCGTAAGAGTATTTCTTGCATCAAGGGCATCGTTGATATGTTGGGAGAGAGTGGCTACTTGTTGGTTTGTTAATCTTTGTGGCCTAAAACCTGCTTCTTCGTATCTAAGAACATTGTTGGTTTCAAGGAACCAGGTCACCCTCCTGTTAACCATTCTTTCCATAAGGAGATAGGCCTATAGTTGTCAAAGTTGCTAGGGTCTTTTACTGGTATTACTATGGCAACTTTCAATTGGTTAGGTACGAGACTAGTCTCTCAGATTTTGTTGTAAACCGTCAGCATGGTCTCTTTGGCTTTTGACCCCATTCTAATCAGAAATTCCGGATGAATACCGTCTTCGCCAGGAAAATTTTTGCATTTGAGCTGTTTTATCGCAGCATTAAGTTTGCAAGGTCTGAATGGTTCAGTAAGTACATTATTTGGTATCGTTATGTCTTCCTTAGTTTCACCAAACTGTCTTACTTGTATCTTTAAATCTCTTGAAGATTTTCTGACAAAAGGGTTCTTCTTTTGCTTGTGGGAATAGAACCTCGCAAAGCAGTTAGCTATTTCGGAGTCGGTGGTAATCAGTTTGTTGTTTAAGCGTATTGGTTCTTTCTTGGTTATTTCCCTGTTGTTTTGGAGGTTACTCAGAAATTTGAAAGGGCGTTGGCTGTCATTTTGACAGATGACAAACTTGTCAGTTGATGATTAAACGTTTACTTGGATTGGGTATCATGAAACCTCTCTAATTAAAATTCTGGAATTGTCTAGTTTCCATTTGCTCAAGATGAACCAAATTCTCTAAATAAATACTAACAAATTTAATTTTCAATGTTGTTTTGAGTGATTTCATGACAGCAATACTTGGAGCTTGGTGGACATTTGGTTTGATTAGATATCAAAGCATGTCAATAAAATCGTATTGTATCCTAGCAATAATATTTCAAGCATATCAGAGCCCATCTAAAACCACTCGAGGTAGAAAAATCTTTGACCTCCACTTAAGTGTAATAACACTTCGCCCTGTAGGACCTAATTTCCCCGAGTCTATCTTCGCAATCGTGTTAATTGACACTTTGGAAGTAACAAAATACACTCATTCTTTTCCTAAAGTAATTATTATGGTTGATTTCATCATATTCATTCCAATTCGAAATCTTTGAGTCTCGAAATTAAATAAATTCGTGCATTCAGAGAAGATCAATGGAATTCAACAACCTTCAACGACTTTTCAGGTTGCGTAGTGCATGCGTGAAATTTTAAAGAGACCTAATGATCTCATACTATTTTTTCTGTCATAGGCAAATCGGTGATAATTACACGGAAAGAGGTGTAATTAGAATGATTAAGTGTATAGGCTGAGCGGATTCATTTCATGACAGTATGTCGGCAACATACAATTAGGCCGAGTCCTTGGGATTTAATTTTGTTATAGATTACTGAAATTATCCCAGACAGTTATTTTTCTTCTTAAGCAGACGATCACATCGAATTTGCGACTTATTAGTTCTCTACGTCTCTGAAATAGCCACAATTTTCTATTTTTGGAATAAATACGGCTTTAAGCTAGTAATTTTTCCTTTTCTTCAAAATTAGGCTCTGAACGGTCACAATTTTAACGTATTTTGGCCCATATGAAGAAAATTAAAGAAGGTTTAATCTATTGCTGGACTGAATTCCCGGAGTTACATTGCTTTCATTCGACGGTAGGCCAAACACCTCCAAGACGATAACCAAAGAATCGCTTCCATTTGCGGTGGCTTCATTGCGTTCTGAAGACGGAGACGGTTTTAATGACGCGCTATAACTTCACTTAGTATGCGACCTCGCTGAGCTCAGACAATAACGAGAATAAATTTCTGCGCCCATTGCAATATATAAACAGGGGTATTTTGAGACCTTTTGGAAGTTGTCAGAGGATGTCTGCGACAGGAACGAGGACCAAGGGCAGGAGTGTAAGGCCATGGAACATCTCAGGAAAGTGCGAAAACTTTGCTGATTGTTAGGAGCC